CGAATGGCCTTGTCAGAGGCCATCACCTCAAGGAAAATTCCTTGACATTGCACTATAAAATTGATTTTCCTACCTTCTTACGTAACTGCTTATTGTTTGTTTGCTCAATGGTTCTTTCAATAATTACAAACATATGACAAGGTGAATTATTAATAAAGAGTGCAAGGTGTGTACCGGTAATCAATAACTTCAAGTTTAAGCAGTGTTCACGTAAACATGGGTCAACTTTTTGATGTTTTTAAAACAAAGTTTTTGTTTTATTTTTCTGCTCGTAAGCAGTCAACAAATGGCATTTATCCTTATTGCCTATTTAGTAGTCCAGTGGTGGCCAATGCGAGCAAACGGACTGACGCAGCTGGCCTTCTTGTGGCCATCGGAGGTGAGGTAGGCCTTCACCGAGGGCAACTCCTCAAAGCGCTTCATGTAGGCGGCCATCTTGGGAAAGGCGGAAAAGCAGTCGGCGCTGACAAACTCCCGGTACCAGTCAAAGTACTCGTAGGCCATGAAGTCCACGTAGCTGAGCTTGTCTGTGACCAGCCACTTCTTCTCGCCGATCCATTTCTCAAAGTTGCCCAGCGCGGCGATGAATCCGTTGAGGACTTCTTTCATCTCCGCCTGAAAAGCGGCCTCATTCTCGTACGTTTTGTAGTAGATGGCGACGATCAGATTGTAGCGAGTGTCAGTGACCGCTCCCTCGATCATGTCCTCTAGCGTCTGATCCTTGGGGTTGTCAGCCACCAGGCCGTGCTTCCGGGCAAAGTACTTCAGAATGGCGACGCTCTGGTTAGGACAATGATTAGAAACTGAAAATTGTGTTTGAGAATGTGGAGTGCTTACCTGAGTAAACTTGCAGTGACCATCAATTAGAAGGTACGGCAAGTTGGGAAATGGAAGGTCAAGAGTGAACTTTAAGTAAACAAAAACAAATTTTAATCAAGAAAGAATTAATTTAGCAGTAAAGTACTTTTTCCTTCATCCACTCCTCATTGGTGGGAAACTTGTCACCGGAGCCGAATCCATAGCGGACGTCCTTGAAGGGCACGTTGAGGTAGTGCAGAAGGGTGCGGATCGGTTCGGCGTAGCCCTAAAAATGCAAAAATGGTCAAAAACAATTGACGCTAAATTCAATTGAGTTTCACTTACCCTGATATCCCAATAGCCGAGAGTAACTTGCTGTGCCATTATTTCTTCAGCTGACTTTAGCGTTTTTCAACTTTTGATAGAGGACACTGGCTGAATTCACTGACACTTTACTTCAGCCGGCACTGGGCAGGCTTTTATAGCGAAAAAGCCCTGGCAACAGAACAGCACTTTTACTGTTATCACCATCATCAGCACTTGCACCGTCTGGCCAATGAAGAAAGCCAGTGAAAGTTAATGACAGAAAACAGCACAACATTGTACAACACACACGTGTGTACGTGAGATGACAGCCACTTGTTGTTTGTGTGCTGGTCGCCAACGATTGCTAAGAAAGGAGCTACTACCAGCACTTATCACCTCTACCCCCACCACCGCCACTACAGTGTCTGGCGGGAAACACAGCACACAAAAACACTTGATGAAAATGCCCTTGAAAGTTACAAAGCGATTACCAGGCCTCCTCCCACTATCACACCATCGTCATCATCGTCGACTGCAAAAGTTCACTCAATATTATATAACGGCACTTGTGCGGCTTTCCATGGTAACACCATTGCCATTGCCAGCAGTGTCCAGTGTCGGAAAGCTAATCAAATGGGCCTTGAAAGTTACAAAGTGATTACGGGTGGGTAACAGCAGTTGACGGATTTCAGCACTCAGGGCACAGCGGTGGCCACAAGCGGTCATTGATGCGGTCATTTCGGGCAGTTTTGTAGAAACTCAAAAATGAGAAATGAGTCCAAAATGGCTCACAATTTAAAGCCAGCATTTTTCAGAATGGGTTTCACGCTGCTCCTTATCTTTCTAAACAGCAGCAGCAGTTCATTTGACACTTGGTGGCGGTGTTGATTTTCAGCTGTGCACTGAAACATCAGCAGCTGTCCATCTTGCTTTAGATGATGATGACGGCAGTTGAAGATGATGAGCCGTGGTTAGTCAGAGTCACTGCAAGAACAAAGCAGCATCAGCTCCAAGATTGAACTGCAAAGATAACTCTTCTTCTATGCCACTTTGAAACTGCTTTTACTAACATGAAGCTCATTCTCAATCCACTAAACTGGCCGGTTATTCGAGGTAAAAACTAAACGCTTTTTAGCTCTTACTGATAACCTTTTTTCCTGTAGATCTAAAATGGCCACACTTTTCGAAAGATAACATTTTCTGCTGGAGAAAGCTATGTGCAGATCGTTTTCAGTTTTTAGAAGAAAGCTTCAACACTGAGGAAATTAAATTTGATAGACAGTCCTCCGGTCCTTCTCCGGTGATGACGGCAAAAAATGAACCACCACACAGCCGTTACTTGGACGACGCGGACTCCTTTGTTTTTGCAAACTGGTGCATTGAAGATGTGATGGAGGATGGAGAGGAAGAGGAGGAGAGGAGAGAGGGCAGTTTTGGTGGGCGAGCCGAGGACAGTCTCTCGCTCATGTCGGGAGTTTCCGATACCATCTTCTACGACAGCGACTTTCTCGAGTACGGTCTGGAACTGAGCGGCATTGGCGGTCTTCGAGGACTCTTTGGCTCGTCCTTCAACAATTCTTTATCCGCTTCTTCTTCCTCCGCCTCTTTCAATTCCTCTTCTTCTTCTTCCTTCCCCTCCTTTACCGGCAAAATCTTCTAAAGTTGATCGTCATCTTTTTCGGAACCCCCTTCCTTTTTTTCGGGCCACACACCAAGCTAAATCAGAACTGTGATGAATTGTTTTCCCCTTTCTACCATCGCCACTTTTTACTCTACTGCTCCTCCGCAGTATGCTCTTCTCCTTTTCTCTCTGATCTCAGTCTCCCTCATTTTACCCTTCTTTTTATTACTTCTTTTTACCTGTAAAGAAAGCTGTTTGATTAAAGACGGCTGGTGTCAAGGAAACCGGCGCGGAAAAAAAGAAGGCACCAGAAGCACTTTCTATCGGTTTTCACTGTCCGCCACGAAGGGGCGCACTTTAGCACACGCGTAGAAGGCAAACAAAATCAGCTGCTACTTCTGTTCTCTTCTGTTACGATTTTTTTGTTGTTTACCTTCTTCAGCTCTGTTGATATTCTGGTTCGGCGGCTGCGGAGCCTTTCTCCCAATCCGATTCTAGTTCTTTATTATTCTAGTTGTTGGCTCAAGTTCTTCTTCTTATTTTTTCCCCTATTTGTGGAAGCTCTTCTGCATCTTCTGTTCCCGAGCTGGTGGCGGTCATCGTATGTGTGGCCTCTCTCTGTTCTTCAGCATGTCCCGGCCTTCCCATCTGGTACTGCTCGCCTTCTTCCTCTGCTCCCTGGGTCCCTTTCACCGCTTCCTCGACCGAAGCTTTCCCCTGCTGAAGCTGTTCTTTGAGCTGGTCCACTGGACGGACGCCGTTCCCGGTCTCCTCCTCTACTACCTGCTGCTGGTGGGCACCGCTTTCTCCGTCTTCTTCACCGCCGTCTTCTTCGCCATCAGCTTCCAGATGATGCGCAACTTCTTCCTCGCCAACCCCGACGTGATGCTCGCCACCCGGTATCGCATCTCCATCCGAAGGGTGTCCCGGTTAGGGGTGAACGTCCTGCTGCAGCACTGGCCGTGATCACCCGAGCTCGGCCCTGCACACACTTTCCTTTGACCATTCTTTCGGTGAGTGATGCGAGTGCTCCTGTTGTTTTGAGACTTTATTAAGATGTCTTCTTATAAATAATGTAGCCATCACTGCTCAGCCAACACACAACTTCGCAACTGGTGGTAAACAGTTCAACAGCTCTCTGCTAAAGAACGATCGCCACACCAAATTGCCTCCCGGTACCTTTTCTGTGATCTTCATTATTATTCTTCTTATCAGCACTATCACCACCACCACCTGTCACTGCATGAATGATTTGTTATAATTCCCTCAAATGTGGTCAAATGTGCACTCATCTAATCAACGAGAATGTGTTTGTTTGTTTTCACATCAAATAAAAACAAGTGGCTGTCTGTTTTTAGACAATCCCTTTTCCTAGTCACCTGTATGTGCACTTTTTAAATTAAATCATTCAAACATATCGTTTGAGAATTCAAATGACCTTCACAAGATCATGAACACTGCATAATTTGTAGGCTATTGACCAGCTGAACAAACACACAATTTTTTTCTTTTTAGCAGTCGATGCAGTTACAGACACTGAGCACACATCATCCAGTAAGTTTTTTTTTGTTTCTTTTTCCTACTAATCTAATCTGCCTAGTACTTTGCTACTATTGAAAGCCGCTAACCAGTTTGCCGCAGAGGTGGTGACTTTAC